CTGGGAGGGGGCATGTTACTCAAAGCTAGATAGTACGTTATGCGTCCCTGCAGCTCATTGTGCATTACTGTTATTGGAATTTTGAAAAGAGGATTTTTTTTTTCCAGATATACTATTTTAGAAACTTAGTGGTTAACTTGAGCTGTTTTTTTAAAATTAAAATTTTTAATTAAGCATTAAAATCACTGGTTTTTTTTACCAATTAAGTGTTAACTTCCAAACCAGTTTTCAGTAGGACATAAAGCAGAAGGCAGGCAGATTGATATAGGACTCAAAATGTCTGAATGCAGAGTATATGTGTATACATTTATATTCTGTGGACAGATGGGAAGATGTTACAGATTACATCAGAGTTAAACCTGAACCTTTTGGAGAGATATTTTGATAGCTCCAGATACACTCCTGAGATACTGTTTAGTAAACATCTAGTGCAGATAATATACTTTATAAATAGGATGAATTGCAGTAAGAAGTGTTACACACTTGAAGAGTATTGCAGTTACATCTATTCCTTATGTGTGCTGTTGTTAGATATTTAAGTTTAAATACCAAGTATCCACATAATGATGGCAGTTCTGCATGTTAGTGTATTCACTGCTTTCTGATCTTTTCACAGAAGGTTTTAGTCTTTATTTTTGGGACCACAGTATGTAATTGCAGACATAGATTTTTTTCAAAGCATGACTCTTTCCATATACTACAGCATTTATTAGTAAAAAGTTTTTCTACTGCTGGCACAGTTACAGAAGTTCAGTTAAACATACCACTTAATCCACTATTGGTGAAAACAGCCTGTATCTGAAGAGAGAGTCAGTCATTCAGTCCGGGATCTCAACATTTTGAACAGAGTTCTAGCCTATTTCCAAAAATTGAAATAAACTGAAAAAAAAGCTGTAAAAAAACCCTTCCTGTTGACTGTTCTCATATCCTGTCTTTGAGTCAGAATCTGTCTCGAGCAGTCAGTGCCTGATGTGGAGTTTCATATGTTAGCTTCAAAAGACTTTTCTTTCTTGACTAGCTAGAAAGGCATAGACTTTATTTCATCTTCAGATCAAGCTGACAGGTCTTAGACGTGTTCCAAAGAAGTGGCATTGGTATCACTGTCCACAAAATATGATAATGTTCGAAGCGTTTTCTTGGGAGGAGCTTTTCTTGCAAGTAAAGTGATAAAATAATACTGTCTAGCACAGATAAAGATATTTGGATCTGATCCTCACATCAAATAGATATTATTTGGTTTTAACAAGTTGATTGCTGAGTATCTGTGATTCTGGGGTTTGTGTTAGCTGTTTTCCCTGTTTTGTTTTGTGGGCTTTTTTGACCTCTTCCTGGAGACATTTACCTTTTTCCCTTCATCACTTCTTCCCATATCTACAACACTGTACTCTGTTAAAAGTCATCAGAGTTGTTTTGTGATTTTAATTTGTAGTATTTTTAAGGCTACTAGCAAATACTCTTCCTTCACTGGGGCCTTTGTGTGAAGTTCTCCATTTACATATGCATCAGTTTATGTATTTCAGTTTGTAACACTTTCTAAACTGCTTATTATTGCTGCTGTTCCTTAAATTACCTGAACTGAGGTAATTCAGTGATGAAGTTCTAGTGTGCATGGTAGCACAAAGGCATAGTTTCCAGCTGAAGTTTTTTCATTGCTGAAGACAAGAGAATGTCAGCATTTCGGCATAAAGCGTATGGGATACATGCCATTGCATAGGAGCCGTGTCTTGGGAGGAGACTTAGCAGTTGGTGAAATGTGACCTCAAAAATTATAATTGTGTGCCTCTTTTTAATCATCGCTTTGGAGATATTTTCAATCTAACAAATTTTCCTCAGTCTATGTTATTACAATGCTTTTTAAATTTTTCTGAACATTGAGGTGCCTCTAGGGCTTATGCTCATTCATATCCATATAGTGTCAAGAAGAAGTAGAGGTTAACAAGATCCAGTAATTATTTCAGCGACTGTTTTGATTTTGAAAAAACCTGCAAAACTCCCTTTATCCAAATGGCTTTCTTTTTGCCCTAATGCAATGGTGGTGTTTTATGGGAGCTTGATGAGAAAGGTTAGAGTTTCTTGTAAAGAAGCATCGTAACATTTTGATGCACACGTGTTCATTGCAAACCTTTAAGTGTGGTTGCAAGGTTGTCAGCACTATATATGACTGTATGTTTAGAAATGACTTGGGTATTCCACAGAAGATGCATTCCATATTGCTGGGTATACTGCCACCAGAATGATGTATAGAATCACAGAATGGTTTGGGTTGGAAGGGACCTTAAAGACCATCTAGTTCCACCCCCCCTGCCATGGGCCGGGACACCCTCCACTAGCCCAGGTTGCCCAAAGCCTCATCCAGCCTGGCCTTGAACCCCTCCAGGGATGGGGCATCCACAGCTTCTCTGGGCAACCTGGGCCACTGCCTCACCACCCTCACAGTGAAAAACTTCTTCCTAATGTCTAGTCTAAATCTACCCTCTTATATATACTCTTACTTCTCAGTAGTATTTTTTACTGTAAATAGTTTTGAAGCACGTATGTATTATATGATAGATGCCTGCCTTAAACTGCATGTGAGTTTATAGGTGTCTCATGTAGGTGGCTACTTTAATCTTATTCAGCAGCTCAGTTTGTGTGACGTTCACTGGCAGCTCAAATTAAGGGCCTCAAGTACTTGGTTTCAGGCTGCTGATTCTGTCAGTGACAATGTTTTACATGCCATGGCCAAGAGGTAAATGATGATACATTTAAAGCCATTATTTCTTTGCTAAAATTGAAAAAAAGTCTCCTTGTTCACTCTGTCTCTTACCCAACATACAGGCTTGATAAAGACAATTAAAGTCAACTTTAGCAAGATGTGAGGAAAATTTATCATAGAATAGTGGAGGTTGGAAGGAACCTCAGGAGATCATCTAGTCTAACCCCCTGCTCAAAGTAGTGTCAGCTAGGGCAAGTTGTCCAGGGCCCTCAACAGTCAGGTTTTTCATATCATCAAGGATGGAGATTTTGCAGCATCACTGGGGCAACCTGTTTAAGCGTTTGGCCACCTTCACAATAAAAAAGGTTTGTGGGTTTTAGTTAGGTTTTTTCACCAGTGTCTTTGTGGAATTTCCTGTATCTTGTAATTGGATACCATTGGTTTCACCTTTTTTACTTCCCCCAAACAGGTATTTGCAGACCTTGATAAGAGGTTTTATCATAGGGCATATAAATTTGTCTTCTATTAAGTATCTTTCAAGGAATATAACTTACCCTTTGAATTGTGATCCAGTTACTTTGCAGGTCTCTTCAGTGAACATGAACAGTACACTACAGTCAGGAAAATGAAACTTAGTTCCATTTATTTGCATGTGTAGCATTTAATTTGAACATAAGCTGCCTAGGAAAGTTCAAGCTCCCTTCTATATTTTAGTATGCAATTTCACTGTGGGTAGATAACACTAAAATTTTTAGCTTTTAATTCTAATGAATATTTAAAAATAACTTCAAGACCGTGTCAAGTATGCTAAAATAGATTTGTATTTAGTTTTGTTTCGTTTCCATAGTAGTGATGTTTGCGGTTTGTCTATCTCATTCCTAAATATGTTGTCGTTTGAGGAAAAGAGTGTAAGTCAAAATGTAGTGCAGGTGTATGACCAAAGACATGTCCTTTAATTACAATTAGGTGTACTTCTTGGGAACACCTAGGTAGATGTTTGGTTTGTTCCATTCTTGATGCAAATGCTTATGCATATTCTTTCAGTTGCTTGGTCTGTGAAGGGTAATGCTGTATAACAGACTGATCTCCATTCCCCTGATTTCCTAAATAATGACCCTTCCATGAGTGAAATACCGGGATTTTCCCAATTTAACAGATGCTGTGGAGGTTTTAGAGCGTACAGTTGCCAAGCTTTCTTTAGAGGTGAATGAGTGGCATTTCCTCCTCACTTTAAAAGGGAAGTATTGACTTTGAAAAGTGATTGTTTCAGAGCAAGATTGTATGGAGTGCAGTCTAGAATTGCAAAGATGAACTTGGTAGGACAGTGTGCATGATCATAGAATCTTTTACTTGCTATAAATTGTACTAGATGAGAGAGAGGAAAGAGACTTTTGTGTATTAAGTATGTGAATGAAAGTATCAATTTGAAGCAAAGGAGAAAGTAAGTCTAGTAAGATTAGCAAAGGTCTGCTAGGAGGTGCCAGTGCCAATTTATGGGGCACTCAGACTTCAGCTAACGTAAAGAAGGTGATTTAGTCACTTCTTGGGAATCATGGCTTTAAACTGGAACAGGTGCAGAGAGGAGATGCTGGAAAATCAGGTAATGGTGTATTTACTTCTTGAGATTTATATTTTGGGGCTTCTTTGAGGGGTCCTAGAGCAATGATTAAGAGAAGATGTGTTTATTCAGTATAAATTAATAAAATGGGTAGATAAGGGAAAAAATGTCACCTCATGTAACCAATATTGGCAAAAACCTGATACAATTTACCTGGAGAGTCCATATAGTCTTGAAGTTGAAAGGCTTCCAACAGTCACAATAGTCATGTTTCAGACCTGTAGGAATGTAACTTGTGTCAGAATGGAGCCCAAGTGTACAATGAGGTAGATGTAATTGTCTGCAGTGGTGTAGGACTGTATCTGTGGTCTTTCAGCAAGATTTTCTGAGACTTTCACTTAGTAAGAGAAATCAACACTGTAGCAATTTCACCCCTGAAATGAAGTGACCTTCTATAGTAAAAGCCAGTGAAGGTGGTAAGAGAAAGCAAGGTGCATATCGTACGGATCGTACACGTAACTTGTAAGATATCTGAACCACTGCTATTAAAATGTATCCTGCCCTTTCTATGTGACTATAAATATGATAGGGAAATGAAGAACATATATTTTTTAAAAAGCCTTGAATATCTTTAAGCATGTATATGATTACGCTTCTATATATTAGCATTTTATGTTACATAAACCAACCAAAACACAGAATCTTTAACTTCAGTAGCTGTGTAACTTGTTTCCTTCCTTCCTTCAGACAACAGTGATCTAATTGCTTGTACAGTCATAACAAAAGATGGGGGTCAAGTTCAAAGATTCCTGGCTGTGGATATTTACCAGATGAGTTTGGTTGAGCCAGATGTTGCCAGACTTGGATGGGGAGTAGTTAAGTTTGCAGGCCTTTTGCAGGTAAGAGAAGTTTTAGTCTGAGTGGTTACTTCTCTCAGCTGGTAATCTACACTTATGTTGGATAATAGTAATACCAATGTTAGTTTATATATTTAAGCTCTGCACCATGCTTACTTTTTTCTTCTGTTACTAGTCTTTTTTTTCTAGTTCCTGCTTTAAACTCTTTCTGGTTTTTTGAAGAAGGCTACATACCTAACAAGAGGTACACTTGAAAATGAGGTAGCTTCCCCAGTATATATTTGGATGTGTTCGTTTGAACACTGAAATCATATATAATTAGATTTGAGTCCCAAGCACTTTCCTTAAGTGACATGGTAATGAACTCTTCTAGAGTTCTGATCTTCCTACATGTGTAGGG